GGCTAAGGCTAAGGCTAAGGCTAGGAAAATGACAAGGGCTCCGTAAAGTAGCTATCTCTAGGGGAGTGATAAACGCTGAAACAATACTCGGCAGAGGGAAGGGATAAGAGTGAGTGTTATATAGTGAGGGAGTGATATGAAACAGCTGGGTGCAATCAGTGTAAACAGGTGTGTGCAATTCGTGCTGAGTGCAATCAGTAATGCATGATGGGAAATGTAGTCCGGGGTGATGTGCAACAGTGTGTAGTGCGAGAGTCAATGAAATGGAAAGTTCACCTCACACGGACTGCATACGCACTGCATACGGAGTATGTGTGAAGCCGGTGTAAAAGGTCGCCTCACATAAAGCTCACGAAATAAGGCTTGTGCTGTGTGTAAGCTATTGAGCAACAATTGCACGATTGTCAAAACAAAAATGCAGTGCATGATCAAACATTTAGGTAAGATAAATATATATTTTTGAAAAATGTCTAAAAAATGCCCCCCTCCACCCCTCAAAAAAAAAAATCCCCTCATAAGAGTCGCCTAAGAGGGGAATTCATTTTCAAAAATGAAATTCAGGCACTGAATAAATGTATAAAAATCCTGATTGGAGTTTCACTATAAATAGTTCTAAATTTTAAAAGATGGTTATCGGTGATCGTATCGGCAGATACTGCTTTCTGTGATCGGCCTCAAAAATTCTGATCGGGGCACCCCTAATATATATATATATATAAAAACTGAAAGTTTGTCAAATGTTTGTAAAGTCACGTCTACACCCATGAACCTTTTACACTTTACCTGACTGAATTAAGGTTTTTTTTTTTTTTTTTCGCTGCCACATTTTTAAAAAAAAAATTTGCCCGTGGGAGACCATGAAAATGAATATTAGTTCAATAAATTACCTTTCTGCCAGTTTTCACCTCTGATAACATTGATTTAGAATTAACGTTACGTATAGCATAGTATGCGGAAGTCTTTTTGGCGGGTGCTGTTGCCATGGTGAATCGTAATTTTGGAGCTCCATTGATCTTGGCTTTTCATAGTCGTGGTGCACGCACTAAACTTCTGCCTTGTCCAAATACCCACACTTGCGGTCTTGGCCACTTGAGAGCGCGTGACAGGAAGTAAGAGCACAAGACTGTCCCAGATCTTAAAAACACCAAAGCGCAGTGCCCTTAATGCACACTAAATCCACACTATCTCGAATACTGCTCCAGAGCGGTATTCGAGGCTTAGTGTATCCCATCATGCATCATGTTCTGGAAATAAATCGTGAGACTTTTTGCAGAGATCTCACGAGAGGTCACAGAAACCTTTCCAATGTATGTTAAATATTAATGATAATTAGATATTACATATCATTTGGTACTAAAACAAAAGGTTACATGTTTTATTGGTGCAAATGAGTAGTGGTGATATTTATTTTGTGCAACATTTGCAACTGCTTTTTATCACTTAATTAGAAGCACCACAAAATTAAATTGTCATCTGTTATAGGGACACTGAACAGACATTTAGAAGTTGATTTTAAAATAGAAACATTTCCAATGTATGTTAAATATTAATGCTAATTAGATATTACATATCATTTGGTACTAAAACAAAATGTTACATGTTTTATTGGTGCAAAGATGAGTAGTGGTGATATTTATTTTGTGCAACATTTGCAACTGCTTTTTATCACTTAATTAGAAGCACCACAAAATTAAATTGTCATCTGTTATAGGGACACTGAACAGACATTTAGAAGTTGATTTTAAAATGCAAAGTATTGAAAATAAAAATAAATCTCTGCATTTTTACAACACTATAAGTGTGTCCCATCAGGTAATGAAAAGTTCTACACACACTTGTGGTCTTCATGCTCACTTGAACACTTGAGCCAAATACAGGAAATACTTCATATAGTCAAGTGGTCAAGTGCAAAGACTGCAAGTGCGGGTATTTGGACAAGGCATCATAGTCAGCCTACTCAGAGTGGATTGAACTAACACTGTTCAGCTGTTCTGAACCCGAAAACTCAGAGTTTCCAATCTCAGGGTAAGTCATCTCAGAGTTTGTTGAACCTCCCTTCTGGAATACACCCCTGGACACTGTGCGCACTGTCTGTATTTATGCTGTGCAGCAACAACATTCACTCTTGGCGTGAAATGAGCATCAAGAGCCGCCATGGCCTCGTCATAAGTTGTACCCCCGTTTGGTAGCGTATAGAAAAGTCTCTGGCCTTCCGTACTGAGACAATGTAACAAAACTGCACGAACTCTGGTATCAGGCCATGCATCACCTCGTGCTCCGCAAGCAAGTAGTTTTAGAAGACTAGTTAGGTACGCAGGAGCTAACCCATTAAGGGCCTTATAGGCAAGTAATAATATTTTGTAACTGATACGGAAGTCCTATTTGTAGTTTTTCTTTCTTTCTTTTCTTTGTGATCTTTTTGATGGGATGGATGCCTTCAGAATGATTTTGTTTGGAAACACAGATCAAGGAAGACACATTGGTGGGGACTCTCACAGTACTGATCCATCCATCCATCTGTTCCATACATTTTCCAAAGCTTGTTCTATGTAGGGTCATGGAGAGGCTGGAGCCTTTCCTGGGTCATAGGCAGGAACACCCCTTGGACAGATAACCAGTCCATCACAGGGATGACAAACACACACACACACACACACACATTCATATTCACACTCACTTACAGTCTCCAGTTCACCTGTCTGGTATGTCCTTGGATTGTGGGAGAAACCCAGAGGAAACTAACTTCAACACAGAGATAACATACAAACTCCACACAGAAAGGCCTCCTGGAGCAGCTGGGACTCCAATACTGCACATACCTCATTATACAAGACATGCTGTCGATGGTTTTTTTATTTTTTATTATTGCTTCAGAAAATTATGTTTTTATTTTATTTTTCACAAGTACATTTTGTAAATGTTGATGGGTTTTTGTTATTTTTGCTTTTGGTATGTAAAGAAATTGGGGGGGGATGCTGCTTTTCTCATTCATTCTTTGTGCTGTAATACAATCAGTAAAATGAAAAGATGTTATTCTTATCCAATAATGAAATAATTATGTGACAAATCATTCAAACTTCAAAGATAAAGGTTCATAGTTTATGTAATGCTCCTTGTTGTTAGTGTTTTTCAGATCAGTGTGTTATGAATGAAATGTATGTTTTCTGAATGAGAATTGTTGCCAGTGTTACGGTGAAACACACTTATTTTGAGACATATATGAAGTGTTTTGTTGGTCTGAGTTTTGAAACTGTTTGGTCAAGATTCATGTTGGTAATACAGCTGAACAGTTTTGAAAATGTGTCTTCAGTATTGAACAATGCTTGTTAGCAATTGAAAAAACTGTAAATACAATAACGTTGTTTTTTTATTGTATCTACATGCACTGGACACTGTGTTCTCCATTTTCTGATGTAGTGTCTAATGAATGATCTGTAGTGTGTATATTATTGACTAATGTGTGTATGATTTGAAAGCTTTGTTTGATTTTGGGTACAGGTGAAATGGTTTTGAAGTGATTGTTTGATTTTGCCAGAGTCAAGCATTCTGTGAATTTAGTTTGAAGGTTTGGATTTGTGTTTAAGGTTTTGAGAAAAATTAATGATGGTTTCAAGAAATGTGTTTTAGCAATTCAGAAAAACTGTAACATGTTTAAATTGTAAAAACAACACCACACACACAGGCTTCAGAAGGATGCAGAGAAATATTCAAAAACCTTTTAGAGCTGCTTGGATTCAACTCACTTTATTTTCCTTTTATTTCAAATAAAATTATATATACTAGAGATCAGGGTTTCCCCGGTAACGGCTGTACACAAAGCAGCGCTTCGCTAAAAAAAACACTGCTTTATCAGACATTACATGCAAGATTAAATGAAAATATGATGACCCAGCCACTCAAGAACTTTTTGATGTTACATCATTCTTAGATCCTCGCTTCAAAACTAATTACATCAATCAAGACAACATCCCAACCATAAAAGAAAGAATGATGTCAGACATGGAAGAAGCTGCAAGAAAGGTAAGAAATGGCACTTATGAGGAAATGTGTTGAGCATTCATTTCTGTACTGAAAATGTTAAAACTTAAATAACTTGCTTGCCCCGTTTTTGAATGTTAGGAGAAAAGAGCATGTGTCTCAGAGTCACAGGATTTAGCAGCAGCCTCGTCTGTGAAAGCAAAGACACTTGGCAGCTATTTCAAGATTTCCTCTGTGTCTCCAGAAGAACCTCCTAATTTTCATCATGTGGTGGAAGCAGCGCTAAACAGCTACTTAACTGCACCAGCAAAATTAAACTCTCTAATTTTTTTATTTTTTATTTTGCTATAAAAACATCACAGTATACATCCAATGAAATACAAGTGTTGTATCATGTCTTTTTTTTTTCTTTTTTTTTCATGATACAACACAAGTAGACTCGTGAATTATAAATCATAACACAAACTCATTAACTTATTTCACTAGATGTACCGCATGCTTAAAAAATACCTAGGCCTGTAATAAAATAGGCTACCAATATAAAATTATGAAAAGTATATCGTCTTTTTAAATCACTCCTAAACATAAGATTGTTGTTTAGGTCATACATATCATACCACTTAATATTAGAATAGGTACCCTTTCATTTTAAAATACTGTTAGAAAACACTCTCTGTCTTGTTAAGAGAATGTTCCAGGGATGCTCAGCCCCCTCCTTTTTTCTCCTTCTCTCTCAGCACTCTTCTATATACAACGCATTCTTTCTGAATCCCTCCTTCTGTATCCATCTCTCTCTCTTGATATTATGTTTTAAATATGTCTTACTTATATGCGAAGTATGCATGCTTAAATGTATGCATTAGCTTCTCTTGGTTCAAATGTCCCAAATAAGGACATGAATGTTAGGACTACAAGGGTTCTTTGCAGGTTGTAATCTAAAGCGTTACCAATCTTTTTCTACAAGAAACAGTCAATATACAAGCTGAAAGCAAGAGTAGCTTCTACTGAAAAACTTTATTTTTTTCATTACATCACTTTGATTATGAATCTCAGCAGTGGTGGAAACATCACATCTGCTGCTGATATGAGGAGCTCATGCAGTGATCTGGATTATGAATGTTTATTTGTGCAGCTCTTGTTCTTGTTCACAGAGGCGTAAAGTTCACCCAGCGGCTCATTTTCTGTTCATCTGATGGCAGCGTAAGTCACTGAATCATCATGATCCTGAAAGAACAGCACAGAGTTTCTCCGTCAGTGTTTGAACCACAGCCACATGTTGATAAAGCTTCATTTATCTGAGATTCAGATTCAGAACTACATCAGCAGTGTATAGATGAGAGAAGCTGCGGTGCTTTTCTCTGAATAGGACCGAACAGCAGTCAGTGATGAAGAACAAGGGAATGAGCTGCTATCTACTCACTTTGAGCGATTTTACTGGCTTTTTACTGGAAGAAGAGACTTCAGAGTAAGTCACATCATCCGTCTGCAAACGTTTAGCACACAGAACATACATGTCTCTCACTGTCAAATAATATGACATTATAGAACAGAACTGAAAGTCTAATGGTTTGTTTGACTCACATGGTCTCTCGCAGCAGCAGGAATGGACATGTTGATCGTCTCATACGTCCCTTTATCTTCATTCTCATCTTTGACCTTCAGACAACAAACAGTTAAAACGGCACGATTCACACTTTATTGAGCTTAAAAGACAGAAATCAGATCTAAATCACTGGCATTACTGAACTCACCACCGGTTCATCAGTCCCCCTTTTATTACCTGAAAACAATGTGCCTCATGAAATATGAATATTTAAGATAAGACACACATGAAAAACACTACATTTTAACAATGCTAACGATGCTCAGATTTCACAAGAAGCAAGATTTGGTTGAATCTTTCAAATGAATGATAGAAATGATTGTTTGATTTGATAACTCTGAGGAATAAGCTTCTGCTTCTCAGAGTCACATAATCCATGTTTCTATGATGCATACAATCTGAACATGAGATCTTACAGTGAGATCTGAACTGTTTTTAATAGTTAGAAAGGAGAAAATCAGTTTTTCTCACCAGCTCTTTTTCTCCAGATCAGCCAGAGAAGAGCAGCAATGAAAGCAGCGAACGCAGCAGCAGAAATCACTGTCATTAAAGATGTGAAAGTCATCCCTAGTGAAAAAGAAATAGTATACTTAAGTACAATTTATTTGAATGTACTTTAGTATAACTAAATATATTTGTGGCACACTATAAATTGGTATACTTAAAGTATGCTAAATTGGAACAACTAATTGTGTACTAAATGCATTGTAGTTGTGCAAAAGCAGTGCTGAACTAAAGTTGTATTAAATATTGTTTGTGCTAAAGTGGAACTATTCCAAGTATATTTAAGTACACTTGAAATATCCACTCTTATTTAATTTTTGAAATGCAGAATACATTCAGCATAAACTTCAAATGTATTTTGGTGACATTACAATTGCACTGTAAGAGTGTTGAACATACATTAATATTATACTAACTGAGGTCATACTATCCCTTACTTTTAGTGACTTTAAAATGCATTGCAATGGCATTCCAAGTAACCTTGAAGTGTGCTAATGGCTAATAAATTAACCTTTAAAAATAATGGCACAGCTTAACAAATTGCCTTTCACTAACACCCCCAGCATACCAGTCAACTCAATTATCCAGAGAACATCAGTGGAACATTGGACACAGACATTTGAACACTGGCTGAAGGAAACACTGCGGACTGGATTCAAACCTGGGTCACTGCCACATATGTGAAAGTGACAGTGAAAGTGACGTGACATGTGGGCAAGTATGGTTACCCATACAAGGAATTAGTGCTCTGCATTTAACCCATCCTAAGTGCACACACACAGCAGTGAACACACACACACCGTGAACACACACCCGAAGCAGTATGTGCACTCGCTTTACCAGATGCACCACCAAAGCAGACATGCGCGGTGATAAACTGCGGTTACTTTGTAGTCTTTCTGTACCAGGGCCGGGTCTAGGGGTGGCAATTCTGAATCTATACTGTTACAAATACTACTGTAAGTAAACAGTTTTTTTTTTAACTGATTTTTTAATCATTGAATCTTCGATTTCGGACAGTAATCGATTTAAAA